TGGGACACTTCACTTCGTGGCGTGCGGACGACCGTGGCTACTACACTGGCGTGGGGTACACACCCACAGAACTTGGTCACTTATTCGGGGCGCGCGTGTGCCCAGCATCCTGCAATTGTGACATACAATACATGACACAGACAGACAGACAGAGAGAGACAGAGAGCAGACAGAGAGAGAGACAGAGAGAGCGGAGTTGGCCACATTTTTGGGGCAAGTTCCTGAGATCGTCGTGTTTTTTGTTGGTCTTGCGCGCGCGAATGTCCACTTTACTTTTTTTTTGCAAGGGATGTTGAAATTTGATTATGTAAGAACAAGAAAAAGTAGCTCGCGCGAGCTTATGTAACATAAATGTTGAAAAACCATTGGTTTTGTGGGAGTCGGACAGCGCGCGCGGGATGAAATTTGGACATTTTTTTTTGAAAAACCATTGGCTTTTTGATGTTTTTATGTTGAAATCGTTACGAAACCTAAGGTTCTGGAAGGATTTCGTCTTGCGCGCGCGAATGTCCACTTTACCTTATTTTTTGCAAGGGATTATTGAAATTTGATTATGTTAGAACAAGAAAAAGTAGCTCGCGCGAGCTCATGTAACATAAATGTTGAAAAACCATTGGTTTTGTGGGATTCGGACAGCGCGCGCGGAAGGACATTTTGACAATTTTTTCTTAAAAAACCATTGGGTTTTTGATGTTTTTATGTTAAAATCGCTACGAAACCTAAGGTTTTGGAAGGATTTCGTCTTGCGCGCACGAATGTCCACTTTACCTTATTTTTTGCAAGGGATTCTTGCAATTTGATCAACTAAGAACAAGAATTTTCATTTTCTATTGTTTTTTGCAAGGGAAAACGAGCGTCAACAAAAAACCGGATCCGGTACCAATCGTTTTGCCTGAGACTTCCTCACGAAATGATGAAAATGTGGCTGCGGCCTAGGCGCGGCGGGGGGGTCGCGCACCAGGGGTCCCAACAATAATTATTCTTAAGAAGAAATAATGTTCAACAACAACAACAACAACAACAACAACAACAACAACAACAACAACACCAACAACAACAACAACAACAACAACAACAACAACAACACAACACCACAACAACAACACGAATCCGCACCGCGGAATCCCATTTCAGCCACGCACCCAGGGACAGTGAATGACCGTTCGGCTCCCTCATTCTGATGTTGGGGATCTGGCTCTGGGGTCCCTGTAGGGCCCTCTCGGGGCCGTCTTGGGCGCCTCTTGGGCCGTCTTTGGGTGTTTTTGGGCCGTATTGGGGTCCTCTTCGGGGCCTTTGGGCCCATACTCGGGCGATCTTGGGCGCCGCTAAGGCCGTCGTGGACGCTCAGAACCCCGAAAGTCGCACATGCTAAACAAATACGTTTTCCGACAGGAATGGGACGATTGTTTACCTTTTTTTCGGAGCCTTCTTGGAAGGCCTCTTAAATCCCTCTTGGGGCGTTTTGTGGGCCACGTGGACCGTCTCAAGGCCATCTTGGGCGTCTTGCGGCGGTCTGTCGGCGACGTGGAGCCTTCATGGACCCTTTTTGGGGCCGTCTTGGGGCACTTTCGCGTCGGGGTGTTCTGCAAGGGGCCGCCGACAGAGTGGAGGCCCAAAGGAGGGACGTCAGGGATATGTTTACCAGGCCCAGGCGAATCCTACCAGGCACAATGTCACAGTGGTCTCGCAGGGCCCAACCCGCAGGGCGGGAGCGGCCAGATCTTAAGGGCCCTTTTGGGTGCCTTTTGGAAGCCTCCTAGGAGCTTCTTGGGGGCTTCATGGGCTCGCAGGGCCTCTCGTATCATAAAATCAGTAAGGGCTTCGCCCCCTGCCGCCGGCCCCCTCTCGGAGAATTGGGCAATGCAAGAGCGAAGTCGTGAGGCCTTGGCGCCGCCAAAGGCAGCGTCGGGACTTTACGGGAAGATGATGAGTAATCGGCAAGACAAATTGAGATTATGATGATATTGTTGAATTCGGAATTGCATTTCGAGCCTACTCGCGTATGCAATGCAAAAAGTTTTCCTACGAAGTGCTGAAATGTTGCAAATCGCATGTGTTTTTTGACCCTGACCCCACCGATCTGCGTGAGGGGTGCCACCGAATTTCAAGACATGTGACACATCTGGTGTGTTTTTTGACCCTGACCTCGCCGATCTGCATGAGGAGTGCCACCGAATTTCAGAAATGTGGCAAATCCGTTCTGTTTTTGGACCCTGATCCCGCCGATCTGCGTGAGGGGTGGGGTTTCACCGAATTTTAGACATGTTGCAAATCCCATGGGTTTTTCAACTCTGACCCCGCCGATCTACGTGAGGGGTGCTACCGAATTTGAGAAATGTGGCAACACCCATTGGTTTTCCGACCCTGATCTCGCCGATCTGCGTTAGGGGTGCTACCGAAGTTGAACATGTGACAAATCCCATGTGTTTTTCGATCCTGATCCCGCCGATCTAACTGAGGGGTGCCGCCGAGTTTCAGAAATGTGGCAAACCCCATAGGTTGTTGGACTCTGACACCGCCGATCTACGTGAGGGGTGCCGCCGAGTTTCAGAAATGTGGCAAATCCCATATGTTTTTAGACCCTGACCCCGCCGATCTGCGTGAGGGGTGCTGCCGAATTTTTAGACATGTGGCAAATCCCACTGGTTTTTCGACCCTGATCCCGCCGATCTGCGCGAGGGGTGTCAATTTCGAGCCTCCAGGAAGTCTGAGATCCCTCCCAGGAGGTGCTAACCAGGGTGCTTTTCGGCTCCCCCCCTCGCGTGGTCTACCAGGAACAGTAAGCAACAAGAAGCAGAACTGCAACAGTGGAAACTGGTAACTGGAACTGGTGCAGGGAACAAGCCCTGAGCCTCCAGCCTGGTGGCCCCACAAGGGGGCCGGCGGATATGAAAGTGCTCACATTATACACAACAAAAAAAGACCCATAATTGAGGGTAACTCTTCCCTCTGTATTTGTTCTCTCTGGTTGCTCATCGGGCCATGCAGCTCGGGCCTAGGACGGCCGTCCAGGACGACACTGAACTGCCCTGTGGGGGCACCTGGCGGGGAGCGCGGCGGATGGAAAGGTGTGTCTACGCGCAAGGGTGAATTTCTCCTGGCTGCGGGTCACAGAGGGGTGCCCCCCAGAACAGCTTGACAGGGCTCGCACTTGCGCTTGCGTGCCCAGGCTTTGCCACCCCGCGCCCCCTGAAGCTATGCACTGTGCACAAAGCGGTCACACGTTGCCCAGGGCCAGTCTTGCGCGTATCCGAAACCGAGCTGGGCCCCGAAGATCTCCCAGGGAGCCCCATAGAAACCCCCGAAACCTTGCCGAGGCTGACGGCGGCGGCGACGACCACGAGCTGTCCAGGAGCCTTGCAGCGAGAAGAGCGTGTGTCGCAGCGCCGCCCCCTCCCAGACATCCGGCTCCGCGACCTGTTTCCGGCGCGGTCCCCTGGGACATCTGGGCCCCCTCTCGCTCCGAGAGTCGCAGCAGGCGCCATTGGGCTGGGTCGCCGCCCACCTGGCCGTTCCGCCCCCGCCTCCCCCGCCCGCCCGCCCGCTCCAGCCGCCGTCCCAACTGGACTCTTGCTGATACGCCGCGGCCAGTGCCGCCGCCGCCGCGAGGCCAGCGTCTCGGCAGGGACAGGGCCGAGGCAACAGTAATGACCGTACGTTTGGGGGGGCCTGGAACCACCCCCGCATGTTGGTGCTCGCGCGCATAGTTTAGCGAGCGCAGCGCACCCCCGCCCCGACGTGCCCCACCCCTCCCAAAAAGCGTTACTGTTACCCGGGGCAACAACCGCCCGGGATAACGATCGTTACCAGAAGAAAATTAGCACCCCGCAGTTGCGGATAAGAGTGTGGGGGTGGGCGCGGGTTGGGTCGCGGGTGGGTCGTGGGGTGGGTCGCGGGTGGGTCGCGGGTGGGTCGCGGATGGATCGCGGGTGGGTCTCGGTGGGTCGCGGGTGGGTCGCGGGCCGGGTCGAGAGTGGCATGACGGCAACACAAAACAATTATTTAAATGTTGTTCGTGCTTATTTGTTCGCGTGCTGTCCAACACGTACATCCAAAATCTTCGATACGCGCCCTTTTCGTTTTTCGATCGTTCCGATTTGGGGGTATATCTCCCTAACGTGTATATATTTCGTGAAGCCCCTACGGCAGGGGCAGCGAGGACGAATGGAAGGAAGGAACAAGGGGGAGGGAGGAGGATGGAGCACGAGAGAGCGTAGCAGGAAGTGGGCTAGGAGCAGAAAGCACGTGGCAGAACCAGAATGGCAGATCAAGCGGGTAGACCCTGACTGGCGGGTCCGGAAGGCGGGCCTTGGCGGCCAGGTCGAGTAAGAGGGTTGCTGAAGCGTGCGGCCTGCATGAATCGCGAGGAATTGTCGAGCGATAGCGTGATTCCCAAGTAAATCGTGAGAGAGGCCAAAGCGAGAGCGTATTTCCTGACTGTCGAGGACGCGGCGTTTGAATCATTTGCGAGGCAGTCCCCGCGAGAGCACGATTCCAGCATACATGGTCAGGATGTCTTGCGCGAGAGCGTGATGGTTGAATCACTTGTGAGGAATTGTCAGACAGGAGCCGTTCAGGGGGGCAACAGGACAGTCTGAGTTTCATAACTTCCTCTCAAGTAAACAGGGTGCGAGCCCCAGGAGGAGCACTTGAATTGAAGCACAGAATGGGCACCGGGGGTGATCAACAATAAATGTTCAGACGTGAGAGCTCAACGGCAATAACTACAGGCGGAGCAAAATGGCAAACAAACCAACCAACACACAACAAGCAGGCAAACAAACAACAACAACAACCAACAACCAAACAAACGAACACACCTTAAACAGACACGCGAACAAACAAGAACGCAGCAACAATCCGCACCGCGGCACCCCACTTAGCCACGCACCAGGGGCAGTAAATGACCGTCTCACCATGAGGGGGAGAATTGGAATGGAGCGCCGAGGAGGACGAGGGGGTGAAGGAAGTCCCCCCCCAACACCAGCCGCGCCCGCCAGCTCTAGCCCGTGTTGGCTCGGGCGGTCTCTGGGGCGTGCGCGGCGCGCGGCACCCGTGCAGCGCTGGCGGCGGCAGCGTGGCGCTCCCCTTAGCATGTCCTGATCACTTGTTCGGCTTTGGTCGGCACGTGCGTCGGTCAATCGCTTGATCGGCTAACACATGTGATTTTGTTTGTGTTCGGCGAAGCAATCACTTGTTCGGACCGTTGTTCGGCGAATCGCGGCTTTGTTCACCGGGTTCGGCATGTGTTCGTAAGCGTTCGGCTGTAATCTCAGTGTTCGTCTTGTGTTTGCATGTGTTCGGGCATGCGCTTATCTGTGCCCCTGCTTCTCCTTTTGGCGGGGATGCTGCATCCGCCCAAGGGTCTTTCGCAGCCCCGGGAGTCGGGGCCCAGCCCTGGAGGACGCTTTCGGGCCTGGGGCAGTGGTTTAATGTAAAAAGTGAATCACGGACCGTTTATTTTATCATTTTTCGCAGCCCCGGGGGTGGGTCCAGCCCTGGAGGACGCTTTCGGGCCTGGTGACCTCCAAGACAAATTCTTCGGACCCCGAACCGTTTGTTTTGGTGATTCTCGCAGCCCCGGGGATCGGGACCCAGCCTTGGAGAATGGTTTCGAGTCTGGGGACCTCCCAAACAAATCTTGGGGACCCCGAGAAGTTTATTTTGGTATCTTTCGCAGCCCCCTTGGGTTGGGCCTAGTCCTGGAGGACGCTTTCGGGCCTGTAGACCTCCAGTTGACGTTTTTCGCAACCCCAGGGGGTCGGGGCCCAGACCTGGAGGACGCTTTCGGGCCTGGGGATACCCCGCATTATTTGTTAGGGTTCCGAGATATGGATGCTGGTGTTTTTCGCAACCCCAGGGGTCGGGGCCCAGCCCTGGAGGGCGCTTTCGAGCTTGGGAACCTATCAAAGATTGTTCGGGCCCCGAAAAGTTGATTCTGATGTTTTCCGCAGCCTCGCGGTTTAGGCCCAGCCCTGGAGGACGTATTCGGGCCTGGAGACCTCCAGAACCAAATCGGGAGCCGAATCGTTTATTTTGGTGTTTTTGTTCGCCCCAGGTGTCGGGGCCAAGCCCTGGAGCACATTTTCGAGCTTGGGGATACCCCACAGGTCGCAGTTTCCGCGGACCCCCCGGGGGAAGCCGCTCCCTTATGATGGGGTGAAATGTTTTTCAGGTTTGAGACCGACCTCCGAGGTTACGAAGAGCATAAACATGCGCTTCAGGGACCGAGCAGTTTTTGGGATGTCTTCATGCCCGAACGCGCCCTCCACGGCTTGGCCTCGGCCCGCGGGGCTGCGAAAAACAACGGAATAGGCGCGTCGGAAGCGACCGAGTTTTTCGGGAGGTCCCAGGGACCGAAAACGCTCTCCAGGGCTGAGCCCGACCTCCCGGGCAGCGAAACACACTCAAACAAATTGCCGGGGCCGAAGGTTTGTTCTCGGAGGTTCCCAGGCCCCAGAACGAGCTGGGCTTCGACCCCCGAGGCTGCGGGAAACATTGAAGTAGTTGTTCGGGGCCCAGGCAGCTTTTCGGGTTGTCTCCAGGCCGGGAAGCGCCCTCCATGGCTGTGTCCCGATTCCCAGGGCTCGAAAAACCCGACATGCATTTGTCGGAGGCCAGAGAGTTCCCAACCATCCTGTGGTGTTGGGTCCTCGTTTTGAAGAGACAGCGCCCCGGGTTCCTCACTCCTTCCTCCTCCCCCCCCTCTCTCCTCCTCACTCCTCCCCCTCCCCCCTGCGTTTCACCCACCCTGTGTAGCGTTTCGTGGCCCCATAGGGATTTCCACCGAAGGCCCCAGTGCCACCGTCCTCATGCGCCCCGCAAGCCCTATTTGACATTTTCACCCACCCAGTGCAGCGCCTCGTGGCCCCATAGGGAGCTCCACCGAAGGCCCCAGTGCCACCGTCCGCATGCGTCCCGAGAACCAAATTTGGCATTTTCACTCACCCGGCACCGCGCTTCGTGGCCCCATAAGTAGCTCCACCGAAGCCCTCAGTGGGACCGTCCGCATGCGTCTCGAAAATGCAATCTGGCAGTTTCACCCACCCAGTGAAGCCCGCAGTGGGACCGCCCGCATGCGTTCCGAAAACCCCATTTTTCATTTTCACCTTCCTTGTGCGGCGTTTCGTGGCCCCATAGGAAACTCTACCGAAGCCCCCAGCGGGGCCGCCCGCATGCGTCCCCCCCACTTCCCCCCCCCCACACACAGACACACACACACACAACACACACACAGACAACACACACACACACAACACGCACAACACGCACAACACGTACAACACGTACAGCACACAACACACAACACACACCACACAACACACCACACATTACACACCACACACCACACACCACATACCACACCACACCACACCACACAACACAACACAACACAACGCAACACGATACAACACACACACACACCACACACAACACACACACACCACACACTCAACACACACAACACACACAACACACACAACAAACACACGCACACACACACACACCAACACACACACACACGCACGCACGCACATGTACAACACACACAAACACACACAAACACACACAAACACACACACACACCTACACAAACATACACAAACACACAACCACACACAAACACACAACACACACAACGCACACAAAAAGCACACAAACGCAGACACACACACAAACACACACACAAACACGCAAACACAAACACACACACACAAACACACACAAACACACACACACACACACGCACACACACGCACACAAACGCACACAGACACACACACAACCACACAAACACACAGAAACACACACACACACGCAAACACACACACAATCACACACAAACGCACACACAAACGCACGCACAAACACACAAACACACAACCACACACAAACACACACACACACAACCACACACGACCACACACAACCACACACACAAACATACACAGACACACACACAAACACACAACCACACACAAACACACCCACACAAACATACAACCACACACAACCACACACAACCACACACACACACAAACACACACACAAACACGCACACGCACACGCACACGCACATGCACACACATATTCAATGTTGTATTTTGTCCTGCCTAGTACAGCGCTTCGTGGCCCCATAAGGAGCTCCACCGAAGCCCCCAGTGTGACAGCCCGCATGCGCCCCCCGCACATTGAACTTGGCAAGTTCACCCACCCAGTACAGCGCTTGGTGGCCCCATGGGAAGCTCCACCAGCAGTAATACTTTTAGTTGTAATAAGCCAGGGGGGGGGTCTAGCCCCTTCCTTCTCCTATCCGTGCCCCCTTCCATCCCTCCCCGCCCCCCCCTCCTCGCCCCCCGTCCCTTCTCCCGTCAAATCCTTGCTGGGCCCCGTGCTGGGTAATCCGTTCCACAATCCTCAAAGAGGCCCTTGGCCAGGGGACGCTAGCCGTTTGCCTAATTAGCTCCGAAAGCCACCCCGCCCCGAACGGTTGGCAAGGCTTGACGGTTTCTCTCCGAGCATTTCGCGGCTTTGTGGAGCGATTCCGACGAGCCCGGTTTTTTTTTCGGAACTCAGTTCTTGTTCCTGTTTGCGCACCTTGTGTGTGTGTGTGTCTGCCGCCCACGCGCGGCCCGCCAGCTACCCGAACGCGTTGTGCGCTCGCTTGCGCCATTGACCAACGTCCTGTTCCTGTTTCCTCCCTCCTTCCGTTTTCGTTGCAGAGATCAAGGACGCTTCGGTGTTTTCTTCTCTCCCCAAGAGCGAAACGCTAGCTCACGAGGCTTGGCCCAGACCCGTGGTTTTGTGCGGGCCTCCCTCCCTCCCTCCCTGCTCGTGGCCTCCGAGGCCGCCGCAGTGCGCGGCGACCGCGCGAGGCGGCGCGGTGGGAGCGCCGGGCGCCCCCGCGCGCCTGCGCGCAGGGGTGCGCAGGCCGCGCCCGGCCGCGGCGGGCGCCCAGGGTCTCAACGGCACCGTAACGGGTACTTACTAACGGGTACTTTGAATGTTTGCCGAAAATTGCCACTTTAGGGCCTTTTTCTTGCATTGCAGCTTTGCCCACATCGGGAAGGGTTGGGTTCGCTGGGTCACTGGCCAAAGTGCCCGTTTGTGGAGTCCCCGTTTGAGGGGCGCTGAGGGTCAGCAGCAACGCGCGCGGCCCAGCGCCGATCAGCGGCCGCACAGAACGGGCGTTGCGTCATGGGGGAGGGGGAGCGGCGATCTTCCGCCACGCTCAAAAGGGGGGGGAGGGGGAGGGGGGAAGGCTTTGTAGAAGCACCCCTGCATCTTAAAAGGCGCGGGCCTGGTCTGCAGAGGTAAGGCCAGCGCCTTTTAAGAAGGAGCCCCCTTCTACTCAGAAGTTATCCCCCTTCCCCCTACACCCTTGCAGTGAGCGCGCCGCCAAGATTCATTCATTGGGGGGGAGGCGTGCACCGTTCGTGCCCCTTTCTTGGGGGGCCCAGGGGGCGCCCCTTTCTACGGCTTCTTTTACATGGCACACAAGGTGCACCTTCCTTCGCAGCCCACTCCCCTCTTCGTCGCACCCCCATGAAGCAACGCCTGCGCGGAGCAGCGGCTGCGCAGCGCGGCGGCGGCGCAGAGCGGCGGCGGCGGCGCAGAGTGGCGGCGGCGGCGCGCCTGTGGCGGTCTGGGCGCACACGCGGTTCGAGGATCGGAGGGGAAAACAGGTACCGATAGCGCGCGTTGCTCGTCCTGGAGAGTTCTCCGTCGCCACGGCTCGACACCCCTCGAAATGCTGGTCGGAGCGCACTCTGGGAAAGGTCCGTGGAGTAGCGGTATCGGTACCTCTTGGTTCCCCCAGAGGACGGGGGGGCGGAGGGGAGCGGTGCGGATAGCGACCGGTGATCGCGGCCAGTCCGCCCAGATGGGGTCCGAGCAGAGGTTGGCGGCGTGCACGCAGGGGGTGACGCGAGGTGGATGGTGTTCTGAAATGTTTGGGGGGGTTCTTTAAAGGCGGGGTGGGCTTTTTAGATGGCCCCAGAGGCTTCCCATAAGGTTTCTGAGAAGCCTGGACGGCTCCCGACAAGGCCCCCCGCCTTCTAAGAAGCCCCCCCAGATCTCTTGAAAGGCCACCCCCCTCGCGTCAGTGCGCGCCGGCAATCGGATGGGGTCGGAGAGGGGCCAGTCGAGACAACGGAGACCTTCCCAGCCAGGTTCTTGTTCTCCTTGGGGCTCCTGGGGGCCCCTCCCTCGCAACGGCGGGATCCGCCTCGAAAAAGCGGTCGTGCAGGACCCTGGGAGGGGACTGGGGATTGGGGACCGATTTTAGTCAGAATTGGGTCGGGCAGGAGAGCCGCGTTTGTCTCAACAGGCCCTCCTCCTCCTCGTCCTCCTCCTCCTCGCAGTTGCGTCGGCGTGGCGGCTCAATGCGGAGCCCGGTTTTCTCCGTCCCTGTTTTCTCCATCCCTCCGACCGTTGAGGCCCCATTAGGTAGGCTGAACACGGAAACGAACACATGATACATTGCCATCCCGATGCGAAGCCAATGGAACGTTGCAAGTTGTACCCATCATCCGGAACACATGTACCACCCGAAGGGGTGTCCTATAGATGCCACATAATATGAGAGAACATGCGAATGATTACTCGCATATTTCGAAGAAGTCGTTATGGCCACTCGCCAGGAGCTCGTGCAAGGCCAGATCAGCTGATTGCAACTCTTCCCCAATGGGGTACAGACATGTGCATGATGCTGGGCTAACCGCTCTTCACGATCTGGGCCTCAGAGCTTCGCTTCCGCAGGAAGTTCGGCGGCGAGTGACCCATCTGGCAGAGGGCCGTGTGCAGCGAAACAAAACGGTCGCAGCGCTCTTTGCACAGACGTCGCGACCGGCTGCCAATTCCAGAGCGCCAGGGCCCCCTCTCGGCGGACGCAACCACTGAGCCGCTCCGCAGTCGCCCGCACGTGCACGGTTTGCAGAGGGCGCCGACCTTGTGTGCAGACAGGGGAATTTGCTCTGGCATGTCTCGGACGATCCGCTCGACCAGCGAGTCGGCGTTCGCGGAAGTGCATCGGCCGTGTTTTTTTTTGAGCACGGAGTCCTGGAGGTGATTGAGCGTGGACACCCCTGACGAGGAAGAGGAGGAAGAGGTGGAGGAGGAGGAGGAGGACCACGGCTTCGCCAATCCAGTTTTTGAATCTCGTGGTCTCAATGTTATTGACGTCATTTGATTTTCAGTCCGTGTGCCCCAGATTTCTGGACCCGTTCTTTGCTGCTGGCTTCTCGTCCCACGCCGTTTTCTGATGATGCCCGGGGCCGTTATCTGATGATGCCCAAACCGAGGAGAAGTTGGTCGTCTCCATGTCGCCGTGTTGAACGAGTTGTGGGCCATGGAGTCGACAAGGTCAAACCACAGACCTTTCTTGGGGCGGCGTTCTGGCTCATCATCATCACCATCAACAGCAGCATCACCACCATCATCATTATCATCATTATCAGCATCACCACCAGCGTCATCTGCATCAGCTTCAGCACGAGCATCAGCATATTCAATATCGTCATCAACATCGTCGGTGCCACCATCATCATCATCATCATCATCATCATCATCATCATCATCATCATCATCATCATCATCATCACCATCATCAACAACATCAGTATCATCATGATCATGATCATCATCAGCATCATCATCATCATCATCATCATCATCATCATCATTATCATCATCATTATCATCATCATCATCATCATCATCATCATCATCATCAGCATCAGCCTCATCATCATCAGCATCACCACCACCATAACCATCATCACCATCCGTAACCATTTTGGCTCAAGCAAGCACGGGTGCGGGAGGCCCTAGCAGCGCGCGCGCGGTGCACGCGGGTGGGCGTTCCAGTGGTCATGGAAGGACGGGCGTCGGCTGCGGCTAGCGCCCGCACGCTGGCGCGTCGGCTGCGGCGACAGCGCTGGCAGGAGCGGGGGCAAACGCGGGCGGCGGCGTTTGCCCGCAGGACGAGGGGCCTTTGCGAGGCCCTGGCCCAGGGGAACTGGGCGAGGCACGCGCGACCACCAGGCCGCGCGCGCCTGCCAAAGCCGCCGCCCGGAGCAGCGCGGGCGGACGAGCTGGAGGCTTCGTGGTTGGCGGAGGTGGCGAGCCAGCCCTTGAACAGTGGGAAACCGACTCCAGCCCCCGCAACTATGGATTTTACACGTCAACGCTTTGCATGTATTCCGAATGTGCGTAAGTCTAGGCGCCTTGTAGGCGAGGCCATGGCCAGCTGCCGCAGGGGGACCCCGCGCGCGCGGCAACGTCCTGGGCCCACTGGACGCGCCCGCGCCCGCGCGAGCATTCCCGGGGCCGCGCGCGCCACGGCCGCGGCGCGCAGTTTGCGGCGACGACGGCGCTGCCTCTCGCACGGCAGCGCCGCTGGCCCAGCCGAGGGCCGCCGGCCCCCGCCTCCGTCGCCCCCCTCATAACCCCGCCGACGGAAAAATTCAGATCGGGAGCGCTTCCCTTGAGTCAATGGATCCAATATAAAGTTTGTTTGGTGATTATATACACTGCTGTTTGTTTACATGAACTTTTCGGGGCTTTCCCGCGCAAGACATTCCGCTTCGGAGAAGCTTAGATCGATTTTAGATGGCGTTTGTTTATATGTTGTTTGGCTGGATCTAAATTCTCTACGCTTCGCGTATCCCCACCAGCCCATCTCACAACAGCAACTCTTGCGAAGCATGCCGACAGTCGTGTTTTTTCAGGCGTGTGTCCGCTTGCCCCCGCATATCTCCCCTGTTCCTCCTTCCTCCCGCCTCCTTGTACATCCTCCTTGTGGGGGCAGCGGGAGAAGGACGAGGCGGAGGAGGAGGGAGAGAAAGCGCTCCTCGTGGTTTGAGTCGTTTGGGGTTTCTCGTCCTGGTGTGAGTCGTTCGGGTGTGAGTCGTTCGGGTGAGTCGTTCGGGCTCGTGGTGTGAGTCGTTCGGGCCCGTCGTCCTGGTGTGAGTCGTTCGGGCCCCTCCTCCTGGTGTGACTCGTTCGGGCTCCTCGTGGTGTGAGTCGTTCGGGGCCCTCGTCGTGGTGTGAGTCGTTCGGGCTCCTCGTGGTGTGAGTCGTTCGGGCGCCTCGTCCTGGTGTGAGTCGTTCGGGCCCCTCCTTCTGGTGTGAGTCGTTCGGGCTCCTCGTGGCGTGAGGCGTTCGGGCACCTCGTCCCCTTTTGGGGCGTCTTGGGGGCCTTTTGGCGGCCCCAGGGGCTTCTAGGAGCGTCTTGGGTGCCTTGGGGGAGCCTCTTCGGGCCTCTTGGGGGCCTCTTGGAGGCCGTTTGGGGCGTTTTGGGGGCCTCTTGGCGGCCCCAGGGGCTTCCAGGAGCGTCTTGGGTGCCTCGGGGGAGCCTCTTGGGGCCTCTTGGGGGCCTCTTGGGGGCATCTTGGAGGCCTCCTGGGGGCCCTCCTGGGGGCCTCTTGGGGCCATCTTGGGACCTCTTGGTGCCTCCTGGGCGCTTCTTGGGGCCATCTTGGAGGGAATCGATCACAGAAGAGGGGAGCTTTAATGAGCTGCCCCTTCAGAAGGGCAAAATGAGGCCAAAACCTTCGTAAAATCAAGGATTGCCTTGAAAGAAGAGGTGAGCTTTAAGGAGCGCTGCCCCCTCGGAAGGCCAAAATGGGCCAAAACCGTAGTAAAATCAATGATTGTGGCGTCGAAGAAGAGGAGAATATTTTTTCTGCCTCCCCCCGTCGGGGCCAGAATCCTCGTGAGGGGTGTCGTTGTTTAGCCCTCGCAGGAGTCAAAAACGACCCCTCTGACCACCCGCGGAACGCCCTCTCCAGGCCCAGGGGGGGGGGTAGGGGGAGGGGTAAACCCCTCCCCGAAGGGGAAGAAGGGGGTTGAGAACAGAGCGGGCTTTCTAAACCACTCACGCCCAAAGGGCTGGTGGGGTTTGTTTATATGTTGTTTGGCTGGATCTCAACTTGTCGATGCGCGGCCG